AACACAAAGTACAGATTATTATAAGCAAAAAGAAGTCAAATATATATATATATATATATATATATATATATATGAAGGAAGAAATAGAAAGTGTAAGTAATAGAAATAGTACATGTAAAGATTCAGCAATTGGTTTCTCCTTATATCTTTTGGGGAAATAAATATCCTGCACTGTACACCTAAATATGAAAAACCACATGAAAAGAAATTTTAGTCGAGCAATAAATGTGCAGGAAATACAGGAAATTTTGCTTTGACATTTGACTTCATTCTGTTGGCTGAACTGATCTGCCTTAGAGAAGTGTGGATAGGTATAACAAATTAATTTTTCCACTTATAGAAAATAAATAGTACAATTGAATGCAAATAACATAAATTCTGTGCAATTAATAAATGTTGAAAATCATAATCAGGATACACAGGCAGCAAAAGTTAAGCAGCCCACATGAAGCTGAATTTAAAGAAAAATAGTCACATTACAAAATATTACCATACAGAAAGGAAATACACAGTGAGGCTTGGTACTGTCTTTGTTACAACATTTAATAACTAATATCACAACAAGTGTATATTGGTGGGAAGCCTGCCATTTTCCAGATGGGGTGAAGTACCCATGCAAGAACTCAGGTCATGATGGGCAGAAAGGAGCATCAGGACACATTAGTAGAAGCAAGCTACTTTCTTGTGAACAGAAAATATCCTCTTGTCTGGACCATCCCTTTAGATACACCAAGAATATTAGTGATCTGAAGAGAAGGAAGAGAAGCTTGGTAGTCAATCACATTCTATTAGAATATAATAAGGACCCTTCCATCACAAATCACTCTGCACAAGGTACGTGGCAGGAATTCTCACTGACAGATGCTCCACTGAGATTACCAAAAGCCTGAGGATCCATTTCTGGATTCAGGGTTTGTTGCATTTTTGGTTATTCTTTACCACATATTTGCAACCTGCTTTCTGGAATTCATAGCATTTACTTTCATCATTTAAGCAGTCTGCAAATGATCCATGAGCTTTCAGTATAAGGGTAAAATATGCCTCTGAAAAGAATGTTTCTTTCTCCTTAGAGATAGTTGAATCACTTTTTTGTACTCTACCATTCTGCATAATTGCAGCTCATTGGGTTATTATGTTCAAATTTCCCAGCTCAACACATAAGAAATCATGTACCTTGAAATATAAGACCTATGACATTCCACTTTCTATAGTGATGTAGATCTGTCATTTCATTTTCTCCTTCCTCCAAATGTCATACTGACCATTTCATACAGAATCTGTTGTACTGAATTTCTCTGCTTCTCGGGAGGTTTCTTCTTCTATTTTGCTTCACCCATATTGGGATAGAATTTATCCTTATTGCTGGTTTAGATGTTTAAAGATACATTCAATTCTTGAACTTCTTCTGTGACATACACATTACTTTTTTTTTTACAGTTTTTCCTCTTTTTATTTTATAAATTTTACATTTACTTACATGTGTATATATGGTTTGTGCTCACCAACCCCCCAGCCCCTATATCCAGGCAGAACCTGTTCTGCCTTCTTCTCTGTTTTGTTGAAGAGATAACATAAGAGATAATAAGAAAGACATACTGTTTTTGCTAGTTTGAGATAAAGGTTGCCTTACAGAGAGATCCCTAGAATTGCTTACATGAACTTCTGTATTGCAACCCACATTGGTACATTTCTACCCAACCTCTTCCATATTCCCTGGTCCTCTTTCCATACTGTCCTCCAGTTTAAGATTACTTAATTTGCTCCTCAACAGGGAGCACATTAGCCACATTCAAGTTTAGGTTTCTTTCCTTTCTTTATTTATCCCATGCATGTTCTCCCCTCGGTGTGTGACCCATGTGTAATAATATTTCTGCATTTGTTTTAGGTCTATAATCTGCATATAAGGGAGAATATGCAATTTTTCCCATTGGGAGCCAGGCTAACTTCGCTTATCATGAGGTTCTGTAGTTCCATCCATTCACAGCATCCTTTATCTGACTTGTGAATATTGTGTCCCAAATATTGATTTCCAGGTATTTATTATGTTCTCTAACCCCAGAAAACAGTCAGGATGTTGGTCCTGAATCAACGTCCTGAAGAGAAGTGGTAACACTGATACAAATGTCCTGGAGAGCACTGTGGAGACACTGAGCATTTGTCAGCTACCCAAATAGATTTAAGGAGGCCCTTTTGCTTTCCATGAATAGTTTTATTTTCTACAGGTTATATATTTCTTTCAGGAGTTGATAACTAAATTTTGTGAATGTTTTCCTCATTGTTTTGCTAAAATCTATACGGTGCTCAAGGGTAAACAAGTCAAGTTCAACAAACATTTGTGGTCTTCATCCTACCTCAGAGGAATAAACACATAACAACAGTAGTTTTATAGAGCTATTGATGGATTGCTGTTGGCAGGTTCATTGTCTCACTGTAGAAAATAATCCCCTCATTCACTACCTGAAAAATTCTTCCTAGAATCAAGGGACTATGAACACCTGAATTACCACAGTGCCCTTCAAACATCTCCCACTGATCACCAGGCACAGTGAGATGTGTTCTCTAGCCCACAGTGGGTTCTGATGTGAAGCTTTTCAGTATTTACTGCAATTGCCACAAATATAGACCTTCAACTGGATTAATTTCCTCCATAGTAATCCAGTCTAAGAGAACACAATGGACAGTTGTACAAGATGACAAAATGACAGTTATAAGTTCACCAGAGGGAGACCAATTCTGGACCAAGCAGCAAGGTCTGACCTTAGAGTATGTATTAGAGTGGTAGAAAATGAGCACAAATAATAAAATAAATGAAAGTTCATAGAAAACTGGTTAACAACTTCCACGTTATATCAGAATTGCCATGATTCAACTCTCAACTCTCTCCTTTAAGAACTGTGTGAACTTGAACAAGACCCATAACAAAACTTCACCTCAGTATTTGGTGGCAAAAAAGGTATAACTGTAATGTCATAGTTGAATAATAACTTCAGCCCCCTCCCCCCAAGATGTCCATGCACAATTCTTTGCAAGCTGTGTGCAAAAAGGAGGTACCTTTACTTAATAAAGGGGAATAGTAAGTGTTATTATGCTAAAGATTGTGAAATAAGTACATTTTACCTTATTATGCTATGTAGTCACAATGGTCCTTAAGGGAATGAAATACAAAGGGCATAAGAATCAATAGAACATGATGAGGTATCCTAAGTAGTACTGGGAGAGCTGTAAGAAGGAATCATAAGCCAAGAAATACTGGCAGCCTCAAGATACAGAAAATATCAGAGAGATGAATTCTCTTCCAGAGTTAATGGAAGGACTACTGAAATCAACAACATTATCCTGGAGTTTTGAAATACAAAACTTTAAGATAATCATCTATATTGTTTTTTGGCAGTAAATTTGTGGTAATTTTTATAGTCAAATGGGAATTAACACTAAAACCATCTACTTCTTAGGTATATGAGAAAGATTGAGTAACATGATCCCTGCCAAATGCCAAAAACACTATAAAGCTAATTACAAGATGAGTGACTGGGTGGTTGTTACATATGGGAGAAAACAAGTTTAAATCAGATTCCAAGGACAGGCATTACTGAGAAGGTGATTATTTTTCAATATGCACAGGATTAAGTGTTTGCACATGTGTTTGAACTTTCCAAGCAGGAAGATTTAAACTATTCATGCTATAGTTTTATATTATACTTTTTACTTTAAGCTATTTTTTGCATAGTAAATAATTTCATTTCCTTTTCTGTTATATCCATTAAAATAACTTCTAAATTTTCTATTATTATGAGGGGTTTCTTGTATATTCTTTAGGAGACAAACATTAATTGTGAGAAAAAAATAGAACATAAGACAATTTTATAAATAACTACATTAAATTTATTCTAAAGTGTTCATGATATATGTCACATGTAAATGTACAAAGATATACTCATACATAAGTCAAATAGATGTACCTAGCCAGTAGCATAGCTCTTGAATTGCATCACAAAGTGGCTTCGTCTGAGAAATCAGTTTAGAAAGGTCATAATCCTTTGGGGTTATGTAATTTCTCATTTCTAATACTCTTAATACAGAAGGAACAGAAAATGTGATTAGAAATTGAAATGTATTTGATATTCCTTGGTGTATGCTGTGGAAATTAAATATGGCTACTGACTTTATGGACATAGAATCAAATTTCTATCAGATTAGTGTTGAGTTTAAAACTTTTGTTGTGGAAAGTAGGAAAATAAAAGAAGCTGGTAAGACTTTCAAGGGGCCTTTTTCATGTTTGGAGAGAATGACACTCAGAAATTATGAAGAGTGACATGAAAGCATAAACTTATACTTGGCTGAAAGTTGAAAAAATGAAGTAAAAAGTGTGTTTTACATATTTATTTTATATTCACAATAACAACAAAGCAGGGATATGTATTCTAACACTTGATGTACATTATTGCCCATGACTGTACATTTCAATCCAGAGCAGACATTTCTTTATGTAGGTACTTTTGTCAAATCCATATCTCTTTCAATTTTGTATGGTATTCATCCAAGAATCTTTCCTACTAACTTCTCCATTACCCTTTTATGAAAAGCAAATACTCTCCTGGGCCTCCATTTTCTTTTTATTTACTTTCATTATGCTCAAAACAATATTTGAGAACTGACTTAAATTAATAATGCTAATTATTCAAGACATAATATCAAGAATTCAAGATAATTCTTATGCCATTTTACAGTGACTGCACATTAATAATTCAGTTAATTCAGGGAAATATTAGCTCTTCAGGTGGTCAATATATGTGGTTCAGAATTAAGAATAGAAGATATACTTATGCAGTAAGTAACCCATGTAATTCTGCAGAAGGGAGGTAGGGCACTCTCTGGATCCTGAGGGAATGGAAAAATGTAAGGGATATCAGAGAAGGCAATCCTTAAGGGAGAAGGAGGTGAAGGATGTCCCAGAAGAAGTGTTGCAGAAGGCAGCACAGAAGCAGCCAGTCTGTTCTTCTTCAGACAGGAATGAAGCACATCTGATATTTGGGTGGCAATGAAATGAATCCTTTGGTAACAGGGGTGGTATAAACATCTTTTGGGTCAACTGCAGATTTCAGGTTAAAGTGCTGTAAAATTGTGGTCAGGAATAAAAACATTTCCATGCGGGCCAGTCCTTCTCCCACACAAATCCGTTTTCCTGAATATAAAACACAAAGAAGATTGTCACTGCTTGTATTTGACTGTGGCAAGCATTCTTTTTGCAACTGTCATAAAGAAAATATGTAATAATATTTACAGATGGTACAGTGCATGGATGGATAAATGAATGTGTTGATATGATTGGATGGACAAAAGTAAAATGACGGACAGACTTGGTCTCCATATCTGATCTTAATGAATATTTTATTTAAAATATATATTACCACTTTCATGTCATATGCTTCATTTATTCCTGAATTATAATTGCTTTTTTGACATTTCAAATTTCCCTCTATATTATTCCTGTGAACTATTTATATTGCTCTTTTCTCTCCTAGTATAATGTCCATGAACTTTGCTTCTACTATTCACAACCTGTGTTCTCAACTCTAGCACTACAATCTTTTGATCAATCTCCCAAATACTATGAATTTTTGTTTATATTTGACCATGGTTTATATTATTCTATTTTTTTTTATCTCAGAAGCCCTTTGCATACACCACTGTTAAGTTGCAGATACAATTTCTTTGTTTTCCCACAAGAAATGTAAACTTTCCTCTATTTATTTTCTCAAAATTATTAATGCGGTTATATTGAAGAAGGAATCACTTGGAATCAAAATTTATAATTTTTTATTTATGTTCTATTGTGGTGAAATATGTGAGTTCTTGAAGAAAGACCTATGACTTTGTCACTGCATTATTTTCAGTAAAATGTATAAAGTAGACATTACATTCACGGACATAAAGAACAAGATTCTATGGCCAGAGTCACCTCACACACTGAAGTTATGGAGAGCCAATATTACAGACCCTTGATCATGATTGGAAGAATATCAGGGTGGTCAGTGACTATTTCCATGTATCTTTCCTCATAACCAAATTTTTGTGACCCCTACCCCCAGTTATTTGGCAGAGAATCTAAAACCCATGACTTAGATGTATATCTTTTTCCTATGGCTTAATACATACTTAAAAATAAACTGCATTTTATTTCTTCTATTTTTAATCCACTTCTAACCATCAAAGTCAATTATGTTATGCCACATAACATTGATTACGCCGTATTATGCCTGATAGTAGGTTGTGAGTGAGCAGAAAACATGTACTTTGTCCCCCAAAACTCTCCCTTCCACCAGCAATCCAAAATTCCCTCTCTCACAGTGCCAGTCCTATCCTGTGATGATAATGTGTTCTCTTGTGGCTGTGAGGGCATTTCATACCCATTTAATGCCTGTGGAAATATGTATCATCATAGTTGAGCTTGGGGGTTTAGCCACACCACCTAGAAGGAACTTGATCATGTTGTGGAGTTAGATGTCTTTCTCATGGTGTGTGTGGCAAGTCTAAATTAATTTTAACTTCTAAAAGAGGTTCTCTAGTTTTTCACTGATGTGTCTAAATGAATTCAGTCAACCTAAGCTTTAGCCTTTTCAATTTGGAGAAACTGGGTCAAGATCCTAAAGCTACACTAATCAGACCACAAAATGAGGATGAATCATGAGCAGGGAACGTGTTGGAAATGTGTTTGTTAGCACTTCTGATCATGTACAAACTGCTATCCTATCAGCCTCATAGTGACACCATATAAGACACAGTCGTTCTCCATAAACATATTCTGTCCCCTGAAAAACTCATAGAACTGCATTCTTATTACCTGATGAGAAAGGTATGAAGTAGTCACTTTTCTTAAAGTTTCCACTCTCATTTAGAAAGTGTCCAGGATCAAACTTCTCTGGGTTGGGGAATTCTTTGTTGTCTTTTAGTACAGATGAGAGTAATGGTAATATTGTTGTTCCCTGAAAACAAAAAGCAGAAATAAATCAAGTTTTCAAGGATTCCTGCTGCTGGAGGTTACAATGGCAATCCCTTAATTTAATCTTCTTGTGTACATAAACAAAACCAAGCCCAGAGAGCAGTGACATTTCCAGGTAGGTCGCGTAACAAAAGATGATTTTGAGGGCAGTACCAGTGATCGTGTTAAAGTACATTCCATATACTACAATAATGTTTTAAGTGCTGGTCGTGTGGGGTATTGGTGTCAAAACTTCTGAAAAATTTCTCCTTACTATCAACCTTGAAATTGATGTCTGTTTCCATCCACCTATCTAATCCATAACTTCAGTTTTCATTTAACACGTAAGTCATTTATACATTCAAATAGAAGTCTTTTTTTGCATGCAAAATATATATATTATATCCTTATAGGGCTTCTGTATTGTTATTTTTGACACGGGAATATTACATTCTGGTGATATGGTAGCAAACACATTAACAAGTATAACATTTTTGAGTGTTTATCATTGCCACGTAGTTTGCCTTAATTTTAAATCATTGAAATTTTAATATAAATTAATCAATTTTAAAAAGCAAAAGAGATGATAAATTTATAAATTTTATTTTGTAATATTTCATGTCAAGATTATCTGTTCAGTCCAAGATTATAAGTTTAGAAAAAGAATACTGGAATGAGTGATTTAGGAATTAGATTTTTTATGTGGTCTTAAAATATGTAATGTCTGCTTGACCAGGGCCACGAAAGAAAGAAGAGAATGAATAACACCCAGGCTTTGCTTTCTGTGAAAGGTACTACACAGGATTATCCAAATGATAAAATGCAATGTTTCTAAATTTCAGGTGCAAAGAAATAGAAAATACATTATAAAATTATAAAATAAAAATGTTGATTATCCAGTGTGGTTGCTTGAGTATGAAGTTCCTCAGAAGGCTCAAGGGTTGAAGATTTGGTCTCCAATGCAATATTCACAGGCGAGGCATGTGGGGAATTATTAGATCATGAGGTCTCTGATGTAATCAATGTACTAATCCATTGGCTGAGTGACAATTTAATGGAATTATAGGAATTGTGGAAGCTAGGATGTGAGGCCTGTAGGAGGAAGCAGATGCATGCCTTTGAAGTGTACAGTTCTTCCAGACCCATCCTCAGCCTGTTGCTTCTTCCTCTCTGCCATTAGGTAAGACACTTTTCTCCACCACATCCTCCCTGCAGTGATGTCCTGCCTCACCCTACAAAGGTCCAGAAGCAACAGAACCAAATGACCAAGGACTAAAAGCCCTAAAATTGTGGGCTAAAAGGTATTCTTCCTCCCTTAAGATGATTATCTCAAACGTTTTGTCAAAAGGATCAAAGTAATGAACACAGCCAGGAAAAATAATGTCAACAAATTTATAATTCACTGAACTAAAACCAAAACTTTATTGACAAAATAAAAGAAAGTCTAAATAATGTAGGTCAAAATATCAATTCTTTCCAAACTTATATAGAGATTTACTGTCAGTCTGATAAATATCCAAGAATCACCTTTTGAGAAACTGACAATCTGAATATTTAATATTTATTATTAAATGTATCAAAGAATAGCCAGAATAATATTAAAAAGGAAGAACAAACAAAATTTAAAGAGTTAAACTACCAGACTCCAGATTTGTTAAAAGATTCATGACCCAAACTAAAAAGAGCACAAAGCCACCAAGGGCCATATGTAGGATGTGTTGGTAGGAAATTAGAACCATTTAGTAGATTGTAGGAATAGGACACCACTAAGATATATCAAGGAAGAAAGATTACCTTTGGAATGTGGTAATTTCTGAATTTAATATCACAGGTTGCAGAACGGGGCACACCAGCAGGGACAAGGTCAATATATCTCTGGGTTTCATGTAACACAGCATCCATGTAGGGCATGTTGCTTCTGTCCTGCATGCAGGGGACCCGGTGTCTGCCAATCACATGGTCAATCTCTTCCTGCAGTTTAGCTGGAGAGACACAAGCATGAAATTATGGAATAGAAAAACACTATGCATTTGTCACATCAATTCAGTGCCACCTGTAACATGAAGGACATACATAGACAGCTTTATGCATTCATAAATCATATGGCTAGAAATATATGTGAACATCTAAAGAGAATCACTAAAATATACATACCAGTTACTCCCTTACAAACCAGGAATTATGATACATCACCACATAATTATAACCTGGCATACATGATGCCTATATATAGAAGGAATTAAGTATTTCAAACAATAAATTAAACATAATTAAGTCAATAAAACAGAATGCAAGATACAAATTGTAATCAAATCTCAAATCCATATCAAAATAATTGATGTAATTAAATAATTAATATAATTTAAAATTATATATAATTATATAAAATAATTAATGTAATTAAAATTTAATATTTTACATATATGCATCTGTATTGTGTGCATCTTATGTGTGAGTGATGTCCAATGATAGGCCATCATATTGACATTCCAAACATATGCACTGAATAGTTTGCCAGCATAATCTGAAATTTATATTTATGATTCTAAATAACAACTGTTTGCTAATTATCCACATTGGTGCAAATTGTAATAATATCTTGATAGAGGGAAAAGAAAATTTTCATCTCTATTCCAATGCACAATAGATGAACACATATATGTTTATAGAGGAAAACATGAAACAGAGATGCTCACATATGTTTCTCCTCACTATATTTATAGACTATAATATAGTACAATTTTTGTTGATATCAGTATCCATTCCTTACTTCAATATGAATACATAAATATTATGAGGTGTCACGATTGTTATTTTTTGAACATTATACTGTTTCTGATTTTTTGCTTGAGTTGGAATTATTTCCAAAATCTCAAGTAGATTTTTGAAACTCCCAGGAATAAATTGCCCATGTACTAGTAAATATCAGATCCTTGATTGCTTCTATTTTGTTCCTGGCTCTGACCTCACACCTGCATCATCTACTTGGTCCATTGTGTTTTCAAGGATTGCTACTGAGCAGCCTATCTGCCACTCTCTTCCTCCTCCATGAGTTCGTCTGACTCCTGGAGCCCATGATTTCTGACGACTGGATTTAGACACTTGGATGCAGTACATTCTACAGAAGCTTTCTGATATGGGGGGAAAAGGCATAACGTTTTTGGAAAATGTTCAGTACCATAAATGCCCCTTTGTAGTAATAATAAAACATTGGTTTCTTGAGAGTTTTGGTGCTCTTCCAAATCATAATCTTTCTTATATCACATGGCATATTTCTCTAAAAAGTTTTATGATTTTCTCTTCATCAGGGTGATCTGAAATTCCCTGATCCTCTGCTTTTGGTGGTTGTTTTTACTACATTCACTCTTCCAGAGACTTGGACATAATTTTCTATCAGCATGGTAGAAGATGGAGGCCTTTCCTCTATTGTTCTTCACTCTATAAAGAATATATCTAGCTCCTGAATTTCGTGCAGCCTGATGGAGTACAAAGCTCAGAATCTTTGCATTAAAGGAATTGACACTTTGCCAGATTTCCCTTTAAGCCCTAAACTCCTCTTTTTTTTATGATTCTTTGTTTTCTGTCAGTGCTCAAGTCCCTGAGCACTGGTCTTCTTTAGCTATTTCTCTGAAGAATGGGCTTCTCATTACTGTGTGTACAAAATCAGTCACATAGTGAATGGTGATGTAAAGGGAATCCATGCACAAAAAGTCTCTTTTTGCAAGTCCATTTGATATTATTTTTGACATGTATTATTTCCAAACTCTTGTTGAGAAAACTTATTTTTCTTATTTCATAAAATTCCCTCCTCTTATATTGATGTTACAATATCATCCTTGCTGCTCAGTTAATTTTCACCCTCCAGACTACTCTGTTTTTCAGAAATCTTCTGACACAGTTGTAAGGTGTTTACTTTTCTCCTCTCCTCCTACACTAAAAACTGTCATTTGTCATGCAATCCTCATTTCAATGTGTGCTCAAAGGAACTCTTTAAAAGTAAATTTCTATTGTGACATTTGAAAAAGACAAAAGTATTGGTGCCCCAGACAAAAATGTCTTAATTGTTGACTACTTATTTTATGGCCACAGACTTTTGAAGTAATAAGTAAACTTCTTTAGAAACTTATTCATCCTATAATGGAAATGTTTTCTATTGAATCTATGTTTTTAGAATATTTCCTACAGTGGAAACTATATCTGACAGCCTCACTTAATACTAGGTTTCATACTAATGCTACAGTAAGGAGAGTTTCCTTTTCACTATGAAATACAATTATTTAATAAGGAAGTTTATCTGCAGAAATTTAAGTGCTATATAAAGTACAGTTTTTGCAATAAAATCAGTTTGCAATCTCTTGCCAAGTTATGTTGATTGTGCCTGTCAAAAAACTATATCCTATGAAATCAACACATTACTCCAGAGAGTTATTGCTCTTCAGTGCATGCTGCCTTCCCGTCTCTCAGTCACACTTGTAATTTTATTTTGTGGCACAGAAAATTAAATAGTGAGAAACTTTAAGAATAACATGATGATGCCATTAAAATGTATTCCCAATATCTTACTGAAGTTCACTTTGCTCACCATCTCTGCTCTTACCTAAGACATCTGGATGCGTTATCAAGAGCAGGAGAGCATATCTCAGTGTTGTGCTTGTGGTCTCTGTTCCAGCCGCAAACAAATCAGAGACAGTGACTAACAAACTTTCCACAGTAAACAGCGACTCTTGATTGTGTTTTTCCTAGGAATAATTTGATCATAAAGTCTGTCAAACTATTTGCCAGCATATTTATTTACAGTGAATCAAAAATCACAATAAAAATTACTCATAGCTAGTTGAGATGTGCTCAAATTTACTTTTCCTAGAGATACAAGTGAGGACATTTGCCTTTTTTTCTATATTCTCCCTCCTGTGAGGAGGTAAGGTAGACAGAATCTTGGTATATGAAGATTTAATCATGAAAATGAAGGTTTTAATTATAAATGTGATGAAGAAAAGCAGAATGTACCTGACACTCTGATGTGTCGAGAATCTTATCTTAGCCCAATGTCAGTTCAACTTAATACTCTTCACATTTGAGATAAATAAATGCACTCTTTGTTTATATATTTTATAAACAAATAATCCCTTCTATGTCAATAAAATATTTTATTAGGAAATAAGCAGAAAAATAAGGGCCATAGCAATGTAGATTTTGAAAACCATATTCAGGAGTTTGTAATGATCTTCTGTCAAAAATTTACATGGAACTAATATTACATTCACACTCAGTGAATGTTGAAAAGGCTAAAAAAGTTTACGACATTAACCTAGAAAGAATGACAGGTAAAGAGTGGGTTTGTCAAAATAACTGCCTGAACTATTGTGGCTTATGCAGAAGTCTACACAACTAATCACCTATGAATACATGGAGGAGTGAACAAATATGCCTAAAATGAGGAGAGACTAAGGTGTCAATGCATTAATTACCTACATGGGACAAAGGAGAGTATGAATATTTCAGATAAACTGGCTAAGGTTTAGGACTGAGAAGATCACATATCACAGAATTGGAAACAAGGTCACAGTTTAAATATTGAAGTGCAAGAGATCATTAATATAGAAATGACACTATTTTCTATAAGTCCTTCAGCCAGTATTCAATTAATAGTATGTTATAATCTCTACTTTACCATTACTACATGTAATATATGTAATCACAACATTAAACTACATGCTTCTAATATGTGTACTTGCAAGATAAAATAAATCCTTTCAATAAGAATATCAATTCCAGGTGATTGCCTATGCTCATCATGTTAAAGTTGTTCTTAAGTCAAATTAAGTTATTATAAAGCAAATAATATTCCTAAAGCAATGTCAATATTTCCAAATTTTGATATGAATTTTTAGAATTAATCATTATAGGCAGTCTATTTTAATTAAACTATGCTACATAAAACAATGTTGAAAGCAATTAAACATATAAATGGAAATGCATGTATAGCTATCTTTATCTCAAAGAAGCAAAAATGCTATGTCATTCTTATTATTTCTTCTATTTCTCTTCAACAAAATTGGCAAAAACGAGGTTGAAACAGATTCTGCCTGGAAGTGGGAGGGTGAGGTAGTGCAAACAATGTACACACATGTGAGTAAATGTAAAAATGATCAAAAAATAAAGGCAATATTAGGAGAAAGGAAGACATCAGATGATATATGGTTTATAGAAGAAATAGTATTAGATATATCAAAGTTATTCAATATGGCTAATCACTTGAAATAAAAGGATTGAAATTATACTTTAAAATACACATACATAAGGATCTATGGCTTCAAGAAAAACAAATGATATGTTGCCTCTTGGAGATTCACGCTAAATCCAAAACACCAATGTGTCAAATGTGAAAGAATGTAAAATGAAGTCCTGCAAATAGTGGCATAAGAGACCTAGGATGACTATAGTATCAGACAAATCAATATTTAATAAAATTTGTTAAAAAAAGAGAATGAAGGTCTTCCATATTGTATAAAAGGTTGAGTTCATCAGAGGATAAAACTTTATTCATGTATATGCAATAAGTAGAGAACCCCAAAATACACGAAGCAAAAATGACACTGCAGGGACAAATACTCAATTATATTATCATAGAGAGAGATTTCAATATGTAAGTTCAAATGATTCATAGAAGAGGTGGGCCCCTGGGCCACCGCCAGTCACCCGTGCCCAGACAGCTTGGGAAGATGTGGACCATGAGGTAGCTAAGTGGTATGTGGTACTTCCACAGACATCCCTGGGCCAGATCAGCATAGTCCCCTGGACAGACCAACCCCCACCCAGGGAAAAAAGAGAAACTGAGTAATAAGCAATAGGAACAATAAAGACACTTAGCAAAGAGGGTGGGGCATCCCGAGCACTGAAGCAGGGGGAGGGGATTCCTTCCCAGAACTGTAAATAAACAAGCTGGGCCTGGCCAGAGAGGCTCCGGTGGGAGCAGGGGCATGCGCCCAGCAACCAGGAGCAGGAAAGCTTGTGAGAGTGGTGGAGGGAGGAAAACTCCACAGGAGAGGGGGCAAGACCCACCTCCCACGTGAGCTGTAAACAAACACGCCAGGCAGCAGGAGCAGCAGCACTGCCCAGCAAGCAGGAGCGGGAAAGCTTGTAAAAGTGATGGTAGGAGGAAAACTCCACAGGAGAGGGGGGAAGACCCACTTTCCACAAGAACTGTAAATAAACATGCAGGCCTGAGAAAGCAGGTGCAGTGTCACCTCCCCCAGTGTGCTTGGAAAGGGGAAAGCTTGTAGCAGTGGCTCACGCACAGGAGAATGCTGAGTACACAAAACCTGTGGGGGCAGGTGAGTGCTAAACTCACCCCAGAGATCTGCATAAATAAAGCCTCCAACTACAGCAGGCTGACAGCAGCAGGCAGGCTAGCCACAGCCACAGATAGCCACTCACAGAACTGTCTCCAGACTCTTTTTTTTTTCACTCTCCCTACCTTTGATGAGAAAACAACCGAACTACACCTGCATGCTGAAAAACTTACTAAAACGGTATTGCATTTGAACTTGGGACACTTTGTAGGTTTTTTTTCTCTTATGCTACCCCTTTGATGAGACAACTACAGAACAACATCTGAGGCACCATCTCCAGGATTCGAGGCTGAGGGACGAACACCAAAATTATTAAGACTGAAATTTCATTGCATTTTTTTATTTTATTTATTTTCATTTATTTATTTTTTTATTTTATATTTTAATTTTTTTATTTATATGTATATGTATACATTTTTTTCTTTCATTTACTTATTTTTTATTTTTATTCTTATATTTATTCTTTTTATTTTTTATTTTAAATCCTCTCTCTGCCACTCTAATGCCTTTTCAGCTTACTGTTAATTAGTACACTGTCTCTCCCTGTTTATATCTTTGAAACTTTTTTTGTTTGTTTCTTTTTCTTCTACTTCATTATTTGTTTTTCCCTTTTACTTTAACTTCTTTGCTTTCAATCCCCTCTCATCCTTCCATTCTAAATATCACTAGTGCTATTATTACAGCCAGAAAATACTTAATTGCACACAGTACAGGGACAATAACAACACCGAGGGAAATGACAGGAAGTCAGAAAAAACAGGGAAACCAGTTTCCCCACAGCAAAAAATTAGTACAGGAACCAGAGGGGAATGAAGAAAACAGATACTCAGATCCAGACTCCAACAAAATGAAGATAAACTATGCCAAAGAACCCAATGAAGCCCACAAGAATAATTTAAAAGAAGAAATACTACAGGTACTCAATGAGAATTTTATACAGATGATACTGGATATGGTCAAACAAAATGTACAGGAGACACTCAAGAATTTCCAAGACAACAAAAATAGAGAATTTGAAAAAGCAAAAGAAGAAATAAAGGAAACCATAGAAGCACTGTATAAACACCAAAGTGAAACAGAGAACATGATTAATAAACAGATAAAAGTACTCAGGACAAAAATAGACAACATTAAAGAGGGAAAGATACAGGATATGGAAAACCTCAGAAAAGAATGAAACAAAAGTGCAAAACAAAACGGAATGCCAATCCAGCAGAAGAACAAACAGAAGACAGAATTTCAGAACTCAAAGATGAAATGGTAATTAAAGGAAAAACTGAAGAACTGTTAATTAAACAACTCAGGACCTGTGAAAAGAAAATAGAAGAACTCACTGACTCCATCAAAAGACCAAACTTGAGAATCATGGGCATCGAAGGAGGAGAAGAGATGCAAGCAAAGGGAATGCATAATATATTCCAAAAAATAATAACAGAAAATTTCTCAAATCTAGAGAAAGATATTCCCATAGAGATGCAAGAGGCCTCCAGAACACCAAACAGACCAGATCAAAATAGAATTACCCCACAACATATCATCATTAAAACAACAAGTATAGAAAATAGGGAAAGAATATTGAAGGCTGTAAGAGAGAAAAAAGAAATAACATACAAAGGTAAACCCATCAAAATCATAGCAGACTTCTCAACAGAAACATTTAAAGCAAGAAGAGCACAGGGTGAGATCTTCTGGGCACTGAATGAAAATAACTTAAACCCCAGGATACTCTACCCAGCAAAACTATCATTCAAAATAGATGGAGCAATAAAAGTCTTCCATGATAAGCAGAAACTAAAACAATATGTGACAACAAAGCCACCACTACAAAAGATTCTTCAAGGGATTCTGCACACAGTAAGTGAAACAAAAAATAACCATGAAGCACAGGCAGCCCCAAACTACAGGAAAAGAAAAAGCAAGACAGTAGAGAGTAACCTCAACTTAGGTATACACAATCAAACCTTCAAACAACTAAGACTACTAAATGACAAGAATCACCACATACCTATCAGTACTAATGCTTAATGTTAATGGACTTAAATCACCCATCAAAAGGCACCGTTTGAAGAAACGGATTAAAAAGGAAGATGCAACAATTTGTTGCTTACAGGAGACCCATCTCACCAACAGAAATAAGCATAGGCTTAGGATGAAAGGCTGGAAGAAGATTTACCAAGCCAATGGCCCCTGAAAACAGGCAGGAGTAGCAATACTTATCGCTGACAAAGTAGACTTCAAACCTACATTGATCAAATGAGATAAAGAAGGACATTCCATACTAATAAAAACAGAAATAGACCAAAAGGAAATAATAATCATCAACCTATATGCACCCAATGTCAACTCACCCAATTTCATCAAACATACCCTGAAAGAAACTAAAAGCA